AATTGTAAAGTCATTGCCAATAAAAGAACACCCCTTTTTGAGACTTTGTCTCAAGAGGTTTGTCCCTTACACAATCGTCTGATCCCTTTTAATTGTTAGCGACGAATCCGCGCGAAACAATTCATTTATTAGGTTAGCATTGTTTCTTTACACTATATAATGGATATCGAGATTGAGAAGGCCATCTTTCTACTAATTAGACACAAGGGGCGGATGTAGAAAATTTTGGTTAGGGGGCACAACGAGAAAATGCATATTTACATTTAAAAAACATTTTTTCATTAATATTTTGCTCCTCATTTTCTTTCATTTGATTTCGAACGGTCATTTTATTAATATTTTGTTCATCACAAGAATATGCATATTTATGTTTAAAAAAATTATATTGTATTTAATACAAACAATCAATTCAAGTGATTGAAAGGAAAAACATATAATTAATTTTCAATCAAATAAATACAATTCGTTAAATATAAGTTAAATTGTATATAATCAATTTAGACATATTCTATGTACACAAATAGGATAGGAGAAAATGCAAATTTAGGTTCTAATTAATTGAAAATTTGATTGAAAAGTGAAAATATATAGCAGATGTGATAATTTGTAAAAGAATTATAAACAAATTTTAAAAAGTTAGAATGGTTAGGGTTTTGATAAAAGGTGCGAGGGAGAACGTGAGATAGAGTAACCGAAAAGAGAAAAAAATTCAAATTTATTTTAATTTTGCCCCTATTTGGCGGAAGTTAAAATTAGATTTTTATTATATTTTGATAAAAATTAAAAAGTTAAGGATTCTACAAAATAAATTATTAAAATCAATTGTTAATTTTGAATTATATTAAAATTTAGATTTCAATTTATACCAAACATGACTTATCCGTCCATCCCAGAAAAATAAATAAATAAATAAATAAAAATAAATCCCAGAAATTGGGGGGTCACATGACCCCCAAGGACCCCCTTGGGTCCGCCCATGATTAGACGTGAGAGGTGTGAGGAAGACGACCTAAGGTAGTAGTCTCATTTATAATCTATAATGACAAGTGGAAATGATTTTACGTTGACATGGTAAAGACAAAATGTGTCGGGTGTTCAATAAAAGGCGTCAAAGGATAGTTGTTTTGCCGAGGATGGCTAAACCACAATTGACATAGTGATGACATCACTTTTGAGGCGATTATACGAATAAATTGGCCACCATTGTCACAACGATTGGGAGACAATTATAAAGCAGATTCTCCATTCACTAAATAGAGAATATTATCAAGATTTCATGTTTTACTATCGAACTTATTCCAATTTCAAGAGATCATCTGTCATGAGGGATCACAACTCTGTGGAGGTCATCATTATTGAAAAAATCCTTAGTCTATTGGGTCAATTTCATGCAGGACTTCATTGGCACTTCATGCTATCCATAAATCAAATTATTTAGTGGATTTGATTTTACTTAACTTTTTATGGTTTCATTGCCTGTGCTCACGCTAGAAGTTTTGTATAATTGTATCGTAACGCTATTAAGTATTTTGATTTAAGTTCTTTTCCTTCTATGAGGTTGAAAAGTCTAATATTAGCAGTCGTAAAATGTCAATATATATGAAATTTTGACTGATTTTTTGTCGATCTTGTTTACCTATCCTGTCCTAATTAATAGCCTTGTCTTCAGGTTTTGAAATTACACGCTATGTCACCTCCTCTAATACCCACGGTATGCTAATCACATTAATCTCAATAACATGTATAATCTCAAACTTATTTTGACTTTCCTAACTTAAGTATCCGAGTCTTCGACCATCGCATATTCCTCTTTTTCTAGCGATTAACTAGATTCATTGTTTCTTCTTCTTCTTCTTCCTGCATGCAAACTAATTGTTCAATTCATTAAAGAAGATCAAAAGGTGCCACATCATTTTCTGTCATCAACATCACAAAAACTTTCATCAATATCATATCTTTTTTTTTTTCTTTTTTTCTTTTTATGACTCAAATGTCCAAACTTTGTCTGATTAATCCTTAAGAGTAGTGGCCTCCTCCCTAATTCACCATTCAGGTAAATCCAAATGTATTCATAGCTTATACGCATTTGAGTCAGATTTTCGGGATGCAGTTCTCCTTCCTATGGACCTCCCTTTTACGACGTGTGGACGGGACCCCCGAAGGAACAACAAAACAAACCATAACTTTGCCTCTACAGGGTATCGGTCTTTCAACATAAATGTTGCATTCCAGAATAAGGTGGTAAAAGAGTGGTTTAGTAATGAACAAACAAAGACAAAGTTAAAAAGTTTAAATCGTAGGAGCGTAATTAAACTTTATGGAAGTAGAAAACAAGAAGAAATTAAGCAAAATGGAGGAAAACGATCTGAGGCAAGTGATTACATTTTCTCCTTAAGATAAAATTACCCCACAATGGTTCTAACAATTCAAGGCATTTGTCTCCCAAGATACAACGGATTCAACTTGCAGTAGAAACACTTCAAACCATAAGCAACAACGAACTCGAACGAAATTTATCCTCTCTACAAGGAAAAATATATGAAATGATTTTTGGAGAGCTTTTGCAAGAGATTTGATGCAATGCTCAATGCAAAAGTGATATGAGATGCATTATAGACTTTCAAAGAATCTTATTTATAGAAAATGAGGGATTGTGGGGGAAGTGTTGAATATGAAACCTCGCAACCTTATGAACAAAAGCATCACTTGCTGTCGCTCGCCTGTTGTTGACCTCAAGCTCGAGCGCTAGTGTCAAAATTTTAACAGAAGTCTTTCGCCCTCCTGTCACTCGAGCGATAACCCCGTTTGATGCAGGAGGATCCGAGTCGAGTGATACTGATTTGTCAGATAGCACGATGATAGCCCTGAGATACCATGCGATGGCGGATCGGCGCAAAGATGGAAAGTGAATCACCATTATTTCCTTAATTGGGGGAATTTGACGCGTCTTTGATAATTTGGTCATAACTTTGGCCACGGTTATCGGAATCGCTATTATAACCCCAATCCGGAAAGCTCTCTTCGGCGCGCACGTCGTGGCCACCCAACTTTGCTCGGTGGACGTCAATTTCAAGCCCAAAATTTACTGTTTTCCTTTCCAAAATTCAATTTTAGGTTATTTTTTTTACTATTTATGGTAATATTTAGTTTCCTTTTTTCTATATGTTAGAGAACTCGAATTAAACCAAATTTTTGGCAACTTACTTCTTTTACTTAATATTTTATTTTGGTATAATTTTGGAATTTTGCCATTTTTGGTAATTTTCCCATAATTTCGTATTTCGCAGCTATTTGACCCGGCTTGTGGGTTAGTTTTCAGCATGCTGCATTATTAATAATATTGAGTTGAATTCCGAGTATTTTCTCTATTTTTTTTGGGCGTTTTTTATCGTTCTTTTCTTGCGAATCATCTGCTACAACAAGCCAATAGGATAATCACTATCCTACCCGGCGTCACCGTTGCTCGAGCGATATACGAGCGACGGAGTTAGGCAAAATTCAGGCCAGTTTTTCCTCTATTTTTCTTTCAACTTTGAACCGCGATTTCTTATTCATCCGAAATTGATTTTGAGTTTCCAAATATACCAGGATAACCTACTCGACGAGTAGAGCAAAGTCTATCTACATTTATAATTTGACTATCAGATCAAGTTCGAATATTTGATCGAATTTGACACGAAAGTCACTTTTTTCCACTTTTATACTTAAACCAAATTTTCTTTTTAAACCAATTTCCTACATTTTTCATACATTTCTGAGGGTACGGATTTTCAAATTTGTAAAAAAAAAAAAAAAATTAAAAATATTAAAAGTTACAATTTGAACCAAGCCATGCACCCTACCCGGATATTCATGAATGTTTTGTAGAGAAATAGCCTCCTTGGCGGCCCCACCTTTTCAATAATTCGTCCATACAAATATATAGCTTTATTTTATGATTTATAAATATGAATCTCGTTACAGATTAAGGGATAAAGGAATTTCTCCCAAATTTTATTACATATACAAATAATTCTTCTTCTTCTTTTTTTTTTTTTCTTTTTTCTAGAAAACGTGGGGGCCTGGGACCCCAAGGCCTCCTCCCTCGCCAGTGTATAAACTCCTATAGCTTTTAGGAAAAGGTTAAGTACGGGGGAGTTTTAAGGGCAGAGAGGTGGCATTATTGGATTTGATGATGGAAAAACATAGATGAAAAACAAACCAATACAGTATTGACACTTGGCGTCTGTGAAAAAAATCTGTACAACTCTCCTATACTTGTAGCATTGTTCATAGTTTTAAATGTATTTTTATCAATTAATTAGCAATAAGTTTAACAAGTTTGAAGAACGTGTCGATTATAGAGCTACAATCACATGACATATTTAGTTCATTTGTCTAGCAAATGACATTCAATTTTGATGATTGATCCAGCATTTTATTGACATTCATCATGTGCACACGTCACGAGTCGAACTCGCAAGAGTGTTTCAAAAGGTCGTGTCATTAACTAATTTCAGCAATTGGTCTTATTTCAAAATTACTTAAATTGGGATCTAACTAGACATGTGAAATTGTCGAGAACACTATGTAGAGGGGTAGCACATTGCTAAAGAATTGTTTAGATACACTTCGGTTGACAGCACAATCTTGATAGAATAAACGTTGTCTACATTTGTTTAATGCTTGTGAATTAATCAATTATCGATCAAAATATAAGTAGTGTTTAACTGCACTTAACCTCGTAGACGTCCAACACGTATTATCATAATATGATGGAAGTCTCTATAAAATTGTACAATCAATTAATTAGAAATCCACTTAACCTTTATTTATCCTCTCTCACACACACACTCGGATCCTGGAATTTGAGGAACTAGGCTAGATCTAGGTGAATGCAGACGACAGCTCGACAACCATCCAATATATGGGGGAAAAAAAATTCCAATGAAGCCAACACATATGGACAGCCGCCATGGCTTGTTGAGTGCTGGCTCCGTCCTTGTACATACATACATGTATGAGGTAATTAAAATGGTATTCAAACAATATATCTATATATATTGCTTGAGCATGTATTCATTTTTAATTTGGCCATAGAAATATAGAGATTTATTACATATATAATATGTATCACTATTCAGTGAGTTAATCAGCATATTGTAAATGGATGTCTGTCACGACCCACATCTTCTCTACTGCCTAATATTCACCAGAAAAATGATGCATAATTTGTAGTCATCAGTCTTTATCCAACTTCGATCCTCCTCCAATGAACAATTTTAATCTGCAAACAGAAAGAAATTAACACTTTATTATTATTATTATTATTGTTGTTGTTGTTGTTGTTGTTGTTGTATTTTAAGTTTTAACCACTTGAAATTTACCCTTATAACGCAATTGAATATTGCAATTTCATTAATGCCATTAATATTATGATAGCCAGGTTAAACTGCAATTAACATAGCATCTTAGGGAAACTGAAATGTTTAGTTTATTTCGTTCGATGACGAACCTCAAAATCACATGACTTTCACATGAGTTAAAGTTGGATGGTAAAGCCGTTAGTAAACTATTTAACATTAAGTGATTTCGTAAAAGTTGCATAAGATTTTGCCGTTTATACTAATGTTATCTGTCAAAAAGAGATTCAAATTAACATATTTGATTAACCTTATTTTTTATGTATGTCTGGGAAACTTGGACTGCAGTTAACTGAAGACATAAATTTAGGTCTGCAAGTCTGAGTATTAATGTACTTTTTGCATGCCCATATTAAGTAACTGTACATATATGTTTGAAACTAACTTATTATCTGATCTACTACTGTAGTAAAACTGCAACTTACTATTCAGATGAATCTTCTGCTGTCTATACCAGTCAAATAAAGCTTAATTCCCAACTTCAGTCATTAATTAATTGTTATTCTCCACACTAATTTAGATAAAAACTCTTACATGTACACATACCTAATAGCTACTAGTTGGTGGAATTGCTGCATACTGCTTGTCCACGACTTCGATAAGCTTGTTAGCTATTGCACTCGCGTACACAGTTGAACCTTCACAGATCTGTATAACGACATTGAGTCGTACCGAGTATTTAATAACTTCATCATCATAAGATAAATTGGGATGAAAGTTTGATTAAAAATACCTTAGAGTTGAACAAAAAGCTATAGTAATCACCAATTAGGCCTCCGGCAACATGATGAAGATCAAGCTGAAGCTCATCAAGAACCTTTGATACAAAGAGTAGGCAATTAATTCTCTTCTGCTGAACAAGCTTGACAGTAACTTCATCGTCCACAATGCGCACATCGACCTCTGTGTTCTTCGATTTCCTATGAAGCCACGAGCTTCTTAAGGATGAATCATTATAGGGCTGCCCCATATCATCTAAAGACTTTGTGTCAATATTTCCCTCTATGCTATCATCTTGTCTTTTGGCCCTTTTCAGCCTCTCCTTAGTAGATCTCTTCTTCTCCACCAACACTTTTAGCTCAGTCACTGTCCTCTTAAGCTCGTTTATGTAGTTAATAGCGTCTCCCACGATTGAGGCTCTATCATTCTTAGATTTTTCTCACAAAAATGTCAAAATATAAAAAACACTTGCAAAAAGTAAATGAACAAGATTGCATATTTGTACATGAACAAAAGCCAGTGCAATAAAACCCTCAAATCTAAAGATCATTGTACAAGAAATTTCACTTGTAACGAGAAAATTTTCATCTTGAAAAGCATCTCGATCGATGCCTAAAAATCACTTCTTTGGCTGCTAAAAGTGAATTAACTTGCAAAAAGTAAATGAACAAGATTGCATATTTGTACATGAACAAAAGCCAGTGCAATAAAACCCTCAAATCTAAAGATCATTGTACAAGAAATTTCACTTGTAACGAGAAAATTTTCGTCTTGAAAAGCATCTCGATCGATGCCTAAAAATCACTTCTTTGGCTGCTAAAAGTGAATTTTCTTAATATGATACCTATATATAAACACAGAATTTCAACAACTGTAGGCGTCTAAATATGAAGAGAAGTTTTACCTTGGTGGGGTTGGGAACCAAGCTCCTCAAATCTTTGTACTTGTCACTGAAAAGAACTCTCCTGTGCCTCTCAGTGGCAAAATGTTTAGTATCCTTTCCAGCCCTATTTTTACCAATGCAATTCATATCTCCACTGAAGTCAAAATCAAAGTGCCTCCCATCCCCACCATTAACATCTCTCTCACCTACCATACCAGGAAACAAGGATCCACTAGTCCCTGACCCTCCCAATGCATAACCTCCATGGGGTAAAGAGTGAAACAACTCCCTCAGCAAAGGAGGCTGTGGTGGAAGATTCAAAGGCAATAGAGGGTCATAGACAACACTTGCCGAGGCCGATGCACCACCGACTGGATTAAGATCCCCTAAGAGGCCAAGGGAAGCCAAGAAATTGGGAGATTTCTGTGCTGAGTTTGAGAAGGAAATGGATGAATTAGGAAGCAAATTAGCACTGGATGGTGAGCATCTAGGCAAAGTAAACATATTGAGCAAATCAGGTGTAGTGGGATAAGGAGTTTCTGGCATTGAATACTGATTCATATTTCCATTAAAAGTATTCATTTCTTGCCAGTTTGAATCATGCACAATTTCTTGCATCAAATGAGACTCTCCATGCTGCATAATTTGCTGTTGGAGCTCCATCTCCAAGACTGCAGCAACATCTTGCTGATGATTTTGACGGTAATTTGAGTGTTCTTCCATAGAAAAACTTGGATTGTTGCAATTTTGTAAATGGCTTTGTGAGAATCCATCCTCAGTTTGAATCAACCCTTCTTGCTGCTGCAGATTGCTTGGATCAAAACAATCACTTTCTTCATACATGTTTTTGGCATTCACCAGATTAAAATTGTTTTCTTGTCTCCTGTATTTTGGGGTTCCTGTCCCTATCTTTGTACTTTAAAGAAACAAACAAAAAGCTGTAAGAAAATAGTACAAGGACTAATAAATAAGAATACAAACAGAGAATCTGCAAAACTCTAACCTTGGTCTCAAGACAAATCTACAAGGTGGGCTTTTCCAAGAAATTATTAGTTATGCTTCAAATTTAGTAACAGTAGAAGATATATGAAACCCACATAAAAAAAGTGATTATGGAAGAAAAAAGTAGAATTCCATGGAAATGAATATGTTGAGTAGTAAGGATTGGTGGGATCAGAAAAGAAGAGAAAATGGTATTGGTAGCAAATAAAGGAATAGTTGGTTGGTTTGTTTGGGGTTAGGGGAAGTGAAAGATAAGCATGGTTTCTGTTTGCGAATCACTATTTTGAGAAGTATTAAGAATTTTATTTATAAGAAACTTTTAAGCTTGGCCAAACGTGATTGGCAAAGGTGGGAAGTTGGTTACTGAAATCCTCATATAATGGGGCCCAGTCACGATCTTCGTATTTTCTGAACACTGAATGGTACTATACTGCACCTTGATTTCGCACTGACCAATTATTCTCTTGTCTACCATTTCCCTTTCAACTTTATCCCCACCCTAACCCAATCCAACCCAAGGTAGTAATATTGAGTTAAATGTTTGAATGGCATTGAACTTTAGTACTTTACTATATGTCACAGCTTACTCATTCTACTTCAAAAAAAAAATTTCAATGGTCAATCAACTTTACTTCGTCTAACTCCATTGTCCACCAAATAAAATCCTTTATTGAATTTGCCTACGTAGATCAGGTAATCCGATTTATCATGTTAAATGTTAAGTTATTTGCCACATGAACTCGTATCAAAAGCAACCAAATATGCCTTTGCCTTGATTTACAAATTAAAAGGCAAAATCTCTCACCTCTTTTCCAAAACACGTTTCTTCGTCCTAGAAAATCTTGATTTACTGCCAATGTTGCACCTTCTATGCTACAAACTATCATCAATGATGCTGCCATGCAAGAATACCAGATGATATAGCTTGTGCATGTATGAAATACTTAAATGCATCATCATTAACTGCACATTCGGGGTCAATAATAGCGCGACTGATGTTTCTCCATTTTGTGGCATTTGAAAATCCCTCTCGAGCACAATAACAAAATAATAATAATACTAAGACATATGATACCGAAATAGATGTACAATATTTATTCGGCCAGCATATTTATGCAACAAGTGTTGAAGTAATTATCATTGTCAGTTTTCAAAGGCATTGATCCAATTTGGGGGTAGTTTTTTGGGATGAAGAAACGTGCTTGGGAAAGAGGTGATTTTTTGGGATGAAGAAACGTGCTTGGGAAAGAGGTGAAAGATTTTGCTTTTTAATTTGTAAATCAAGGCAAAGGCGTATTTGCCTCTATTGACATGGAGTTTACGTGGTAAACAACTTAACAATTAACATGCCACATCAGATTACCGTGAACCACGTAGGCAAATTCAATAACAGATTCTATCCAATGGCCAATGGAGTTGGACTGGATAAAGTTGATTGGCCATTGGGAAATGTTTTGAAGTATGGTGAGTAAATCATTATATATAGCAAAGTTCAATGGTCGTTCAAACATTTAACTCGTAGTAATATTAGAAGAAAAATATTTTTCCCACAGAAGACAACAAAAAACTCAAATGAGGTGGGTTCCATGTGAGTTTTATATTAAAAATATATAACCACCCATCCCATGAACTGTGTGTGATTGTAAGTTCTTTGGCAAACCGGTTTCTGTATATGTAGTGCAACTAATATTAGAATTACAAAAACAATATTGGTATTGCTGACTTTGTTTTGTAGAATCGATCTTTTGCCCACATTATACTGCTCATCATTGATGTGACAACGTGTGGTTTGGGATAAAATTTAAAAAAAAAATCAATTGATGTGACAACGCTACACGTTACCATATCAGCAAGAAGCATTATATATCCTACCCATTGTGAGCAGGAGATCAACTCTACTTGATTTTGTTGCAATATAAAAAATTAGTCCTCAATTAAACGTCGAGTTGAAAGAGTTAACATATAAAGTTCTTTTAGGACCTAGGGCATAGGGCATGTTTGGGGTTACTTATTTTAAATATAAACAGCAAATGTCTAATTTTTATAATACGAACCCATCCACATTCATAACAAGTCAACATTAATGACTTCATATGCCCCTAAAAAAAAACAAAAACAAAAACAAAAAACACTGAGAGGGGTTGGTATAATAGTGGAACGATGAACCTATAAAGATAGTAACATGGGGTTTGAACCCATGTCCAAGAAACACATTTAACGTACTTTGAGGAAGGTATTATTGTGAAAGTGATCACGAACTTACAAAAAAATATTTTACAAGTCGAATGATGACTAGTATACATGAAATATAGTAAAGATCCATTTCACCCTTTTAACTTTCAGTTTTCTTGACGAAATAAGCCGTCAAAATATTACACCTAGGATTGTTGTACTCTTCTTGTTTTTTATTTATGTTTCCCTTGTTTTGGGGCTCAATTTGATGAATAAATGCAAAGATAAACCCATTAGTAATTACTCCACCACTCTAATGTGTAACACATAATACAGATATTTAAATTAATACAATTTCCTATCCGCTCCCCTATTCTTTCTATGGGAATGATAGAGCATCAAAAAAGGAATGTACTGTGTGTACAAAAACCCTCCGAAACACACACAATGGGGGAGGGGTGGGTTTTTTCGCAATATTTTACTCGCATAGAGCCCACCCGTGTGAATACTCTAGAGGAATTCTGTGAACCCTTCCTCTGTACAAATGAAAAAACTGGTCAAAATATAAATCTTGGTATCAGATTTTTTCTGTATACTCATTTTCAATTACACAATAAAATATTTTACTCGTAAATCAAAAATTATTTCTTATTTTTTAGTCACACAATTTTCCAAAAATTTATTGTTCAAAACTTTATTTTTGGATCGTAAAGGTCATCAAACAAGGACTTATTAAGTCTCATATATTGTAGAGCCATATTAAGATAAATCGAGATATGTTGTCTCCCCACTACATTTCGGCACGTTAGTTCTTATCTAGCAAATGAAAAGAAGTCATTTCAAATGTAATGACATTTTCTTGTTTGCTAACAAGAGCGGAGATATGTAAATGTCCAAAAAATTGTAATTCGGGACACCTAAACTACAGTTTTGTAATAATGTTCTTCCTAAGAGATGCCCCAACGGAAATTACAAGTGGGGTCCCTATAATTTTGGGAGGCATAAGGCAACCAATCATTTGATAGTAAAAGGTTATTCACACAATTGCTGTGATTGCCAAACGATCAGGATGCAGGATGTGGTTAGTTACCAGTAATGTGCACTTTTTCAACCTAACATCAAGATTCTAAAAAGTTCCTTAGCAAGCCAGGAAGGTCGAGCCTTACGAGCCTAGACATTATGAGATGTTTTTCTATTTGGCGTGCACCTTTTGTCACTTGGGCCCACATTAGGTGATCAAAATTGAGATGATTATCTTTGTCATGTTAAGTTGTAGAGTCTAATTATTTTCAATCCTAATTATAGTTACTTTGCGAAGCTGGTCGCAAATCAACCTCCGTGGTGAGATCCCTGTGCAGGTTGGAGAGGGGCAGGAGGTCCCCCTCCCAGAGGGTGCCAGCGGCGCAAAGCCCCCTAACCGAAATTTTATTATGGACTGTTTAGAAATTTGCATTCTGGTAAAATTTGATTTTGCCTTAATTTATCTTATAAATAGGGAGCCATCCTTGCGCCTTTTTATTATCATCAAATAGGAGATAAAGAGTAGCTAGAGAAGATAGGAGTACAATTTCTCTTGTAAATATTTTTACATCATAATGAATTAATGCAACGGTAGCAGAGGACCTCACGCTAAGAGGAAACTCTATAAGTCTTGCATGTTCTTAAGTATTTATTTTTCTTTCTTTGAATTGATTGTTCTCAATGGAAAAGAATTTGGATTTATGATTCTCAACATTTCCCATCTTCCTCTTATGTTTTCCCCACGCCTAAATTCACCTTTTAAAGCGCTGTATGATATTGCAATAAAAACATAATCAAGTTAATCAATAAACACGTCCAAATACATAATAATAACGGAATAGCTAAAATCTAAAATTTTATATAGATATCAGGAAAAAGATAATTTGAATCAAATAGTTCTTTAAATATAAGAACAACTTATTTTGTAAGAAATGTACTCAAGAGAAATCATTATGCTCTCATCAACAATGACATGAAGGATTGCTTACATGATTCTCCATCCAATGGTGTCAATTACAATTTAAAAAATGTAATTCATATCAATTTCATTATTTACAGAAGTTGAGAAATGCAGGACATGCTTCTCAACTGATGGTTGTTCACTCATCTATGCACACATCATTGGCAGGTTTTGCAAATAAAAAAGAAATGCAGATCAATGCTCTTAAAGAATATACGACTCCTCAAGCCTCCAGTTATAAAGATATATGGCAAGTTATCTATAAAGAATTTTCGTAATATGATTTTAAATTTCATAATATTGCAAACAAATCATGGTAACACAGGCAAAAAATAAAAAAAATAAAAAAATACCAGAGAAAATGATTATTAATAAGCATAACAAATATATGACTTGTCAATGTTCTAGTTATAAAGATATACGGGAAGTTATTGTCGAGAATTTTGAACCCTAATTCTATTTCATGGAGAGCAATCAATTGAAAGAAAGAAAAATAAATATGCAATATTTATAGAGATTAGTATCAATGTGAGATTACGTCCTCTCTCACTGTTGCAGTTAGGGCTGTAAATTGATCGAATATGGAGCAAATCTGCTCAAATCCGATCTGATCCGTTAAAAAAAATATTATCCAATCCGATCCGATAATTCAACAGATATTTGATTGTTAAATTCATATCCGATTTACTGTGTTATCGTGTGTGTGTGTGTGTGTGTGTGTGTGTGTGTGTGTGTGTGTGTGTGTGTGTGTGTGTGTGTGTGTGTGTGTGTGTGTGTGTGTGTGTGTGTGTGTGTGTGTGTGTGTGTGTGTGTGTGTGTGTGTGTGTGTGTGTGTGTGTGTGTGTGTGTGTGTGTGTGTGTGTGTGTGTGTCTATATATATATATATATATGATTTTTATTTTTTTTTGCCTAAAAAATATTTTAACTATCTTGATGGTCTCACCTATTATACTAAAAGACTCAAATCAATTTTTTATCTAAGTAATGCTCATTTAGCTCATTTTTAAAGGAGATTCCTCTTGGGATGTTTTAGTAATGTTCCAATGTGGAATACTAACTTTTTAAACAGCACTCTTCCAATGTTTTGGTGATCTTTCAATATGGAATATTAGTCAATTGTTAATTCTAAGTATTACTAGTTTATTTTTTTTATTTTCATTAAAAATCATAGCATAAACAAGATTATAATCACAAATAATATCAATTTAAACAATGTAAATTATTTTTGGACTTATTAATTATTAGTTTTTGATGTTATAAATCAAATTACTATAGTTATTTTTATCTTATTTTAATTAATAAAAAAATTAAATCTCTTCGAATATTTCAATTAACAATATTATACTATTATTTAATATTATTTATTATTTGAAAATTATGAGTAACACATAATATAAGTTTCAAAATGGAAAAAATTATGTTTACTAGATTATGATATAATATATAAAATATATTATATTATTATAATAAATCGGATCAGATCGACCTATATCCATATTTGCTCCACTTATTTAATGGATATCGGATTCTGATCTTAATTGGATTATCGGATTGAGACCCTAAATTCATCTCCCATTAATTTCATTGGATTCGAATCGAATTCAGATCAAAATTCAATCCATTGACAGTCCTAACTGTAGTAATTCACTACGATGAAAAATGTTTACAAGAGAAAATCGCACACATATCTACTCTAACCTCACTCTCTCTTTTTTATGATAATTATAAAGCCTAACTATGGCTCCCTATTTATAAGATAAATTATGGCAAAAACGAATTTTTAAAGTACTCAAATTTCTTATTAAAATTTTACAAGAGTGCAAATTTCTAAACATTCTTTAAATTAAATTTTAGTACTGAGGCTATGCACCCCACATCCCCACGAGAGGAGGCCTCTTGTGCCCTTTCCAATCCACAAGGCAACCTCTCCGCGACGACGTTGATTCACTACCAGCTCGACGAAGTGGCAATAATTAAGCTCCAGTAAAGAAATTTCAAAATGTTGCAAACTAATTGTGAAATATCAACAAATATTGGACTAGAAAGACAAATTTGATAGTGATATTTTCTGAAGAAACAATAGATTACCAGTAACAACTAGCCACTAGGGTGTAATTTCATCTCTGATGAATATGTTCACATAGTCAGGAAAATACAAAACTAACAAATATATGCTGACAACTCTACTAATTTATATGAATTAATCATTATATAGATTTTGCATATTGAGGAAGAAATTAAATACATTAATAAGGATAACATTTTTCTCCAATGCCAAAAACTATTTAACAGGGAAAATCACCATTTGCTTGCATTGGCCGAACGACAAGGCAAGAAACTAATATCTTACTTTTCTCATTCACGGAAACATAGTGCTTGTTTTGCACGGATTTTGATAATTGATTTTTTGACCATTAGAGATAAAGTAGGTCATATCTGTGAGAGAGGAATTAAAAAATAACAATTGGAATAATGAAATAACAATCAAAAATTGATTTTAATTAACTTAAAATCTGTACCAAACAAGCACATAGTTTGTTCAAAACAAATACTTCAATATAACATCATTTCGTGTTAGTCTATCTAACAGATTTTTAACTTAAGCAACCAAATGGTCCAGCTTATCTAGTCCACCAAATATTTAAGCTATTTTTGGGATATTTATTTGATCATGTTTCTTCAAGTTGTTACAATAATTGGTTTTCAAGGTTCTAGGAACTCATAAATGCACGTTTTCTATTTGAGTAATGCTATTTAGCTCCACTAGGACCCCAGTCTAGGTGGCGCTAATGTGGCAGTAATTGATAGGTAGAATTATTTGACTATTTAATTTCACTTTTCATTTAACCAATCATCTAGTACTTCTTAGACTGGAGTTGTAACCTCAGCGGGGTTACATAGCGTTATTCTCTCTATTTAGATGACTTTGTTGGATAAGTAGCTTTACAAAGGCTAATAAAAAGCTTTGAAGGCATCAAATTCGACTCTTTCTAAGGAGCAAAATAGTTGTGTGCTTCCCCATTTTCTTGTCTTGGTTCAAGAATAAAATAATGCGTGCACGGCAATCAGAAAATATGATAATTGACTTGCAATTTCAACTTCAGATTGCTCAAATGCTACTGCAGAACAAAGTTTCAGATTCAATTTGGTATTAAATTGAATTTTGACATAAATCGATTTTTGATACCTACGATTTTTTTATGGAAGCACGCTAATTCCTTTCATGTAGTACAAAATAACGTTTGTTAGTCCACTATGACATTTAAACATCGAGATCTCGGGTTTTACGTTAGTTTTTTTTTTTCAAACTAAGCCAATGTTCGGTTTTTAAAAAAATCAAGTTTTAATAGAAGTCGATACAATGTGTAGTTGAAAAGTTGTAAATGTCCTGAAATATTAAAATTTTATCATTTTTTTTAGTTAAATCAAATAGTGATTAAGGATTCATTTGATATGACTTTTGCTTTTATTTTTTGTGTAAGAATTTTGGGAGGAAGGTAATTTTCTATTTCCTATTTGGGAGTGATTTTGAGAATTGATTTTTTGACCATTAGAAGAAAAGTGGGGTCCACCTATGAAAGAAGAAGTTAAATATGATGACTGAAATAGTGAAATAACGGTCAAAAAATCAATTTTTTGGGAGAAAAAATCGCTCCCAAACAGGCCCGATATATTAGATTAATTTTCTGTAAAAGTTCTTATAAGTAAAAAAAAATATTTTTATAAAATTAACCAAACGAATTGAAAAACTACTTTTAGGTCTTAGAGGTTACTAATCATTGGTGAAGAGATGATAAACTTCAATGAATAACGGAGGTAAATAAAGTTTGATATTTCTTACAAACTTGTGTTTTATATTATCCAATTAGATAGTCACAGAGATTGAGCCACTCACACGATTCCCCCGTCAAATAGTATGAAGCCATTTCATTGAGCCATTTGGCAGCTTTCTTTCTATCTCTCCCGCTCGCTCTCTTCACCAAACAAACAGCATATTCTTCGTAAAATCTCCGAAGCCATGGGACAAATTCTCGAGAAACTTAAAGGTATTATTCTATATGAAATTCGCCTTCAATTCTTATAGACCTACACTTGATTTGATTTCCTGCTTTATATTGTATCGTCTTGGCATGTATGTCTTTGTTGACTTTCGCTGCCGCAACGATTTATCATTCTTTTATCTCGTGAATAAATATGTGTTTTAGTCGATTTTATGTTTTGATTTATACAAATTCTTACGCACTGTTATAGTGTGTAATTTTAATTTCAAGATGAATAGTTTCGGAGATGAAATTTAATTTTGTCTAATTATATCAAGGTTTGACTGTTTAAGGGAAAGTTATTTATATCACTGGATTTGTTAATAACATTTCAATACTGTAATTCATGGTCTACCTCACTAGTCTAGTATAGCAAGATGAGTGAGTCTTCTTGAATATGTAATTGCAGATGCCAAATGCTGCTGATTGGTTAATATGGGAGCATCTTTTTGTTCAATAAGCGCTTTTAATAATTGTTTATTTCAGTAACAATGGGAATGGTATGTTATAGGGGTGTAATGTGCTTAGGTTTTTTAAACTTTCTAATCAACTAGCAGAACAAGGTGTTGATGGCAAATATAAGAATTTATTAGGAATTAATTTCCCAAAACTGATGGAACTGATGGAAAGGAAATTATTTGTCAGAAAGATTTTTTTTTCTGTCCTTTTAGATCCTCCCATTCATTTCCCCCACTTAGATGATGATGAAAGGTTCAACATCATGTGAGGAAAATAAATTACTAGGAAACATGTTGTGCATAATTAAGAAATAATTGTTTGTCAGCTGATCGTTTCAATCACCATCAGGGTGGTCTCTCATGGTCTTTTAAAATTAAAACGTGATGCGTACTTAAATGCTTTGCACATAACTTTGAAGTGTGAACTACACATGCTAGCAGGCCATATTTTCTTGGACATAGCCAGGTGAATATTGAGAAAGTATGAATCTGATTTCTAATAGCTGAAGGAAACTTTGGTAATTTACTATAAAATACTATAAAATAAGCCTTTTCTGTTGGCTTTTTTAAGTCAATATCTGATACTTCTTTCTGTTATCTAGAATGACACAAATAGTATCACTTATACTGTAACTTGAATAGACTCTCCTTTCCAATTTGGCTAATTCCCAACAAAACATGTTCCATCCATATTCTTATGTTGGTAAATTTAATCCTTTATAACCTACAGCAGGGTGAACTATTAGTTTTCTTGTCTTTCCTTTTTCCTTGTATTTATTGTTAAATTGTTTATTGGATTAGTGCTCTGAAATTTAGTTTGCATATTGGGTCATAATTGTAAAGTTAAAACCTCGTTTCGCAATTTTACACAGAAGGAGCTAATTTTCATGTGATAAATCTCAAACTATGTAAACATCAATTTAATTTTACTCAGTAATATGTAGTACTAGCAATGTTGTGGAATTCCGGTGTTCTGTAGAGAAGATTCTGAATGCATTGGTGAAATGATTTTCTCTGATTGGAACGCTTGTTATTTTAGAAACTGTGTCATATGTATGGTTCCTTGATTGGATAAAGAAGTTGCTGACTTTCACTCTGTTTTTTTGGCACTTCATAGTTTATACAACATGGTAGTAGCGGAAAGTAACCTGGGAATTTTAGCTCGCTTGAGTCAGCTTAAATACATGCAAATCACCTGTTTGACATTTAAAGTTACTAGCTTGAGGCTAGTGGAAATTTATTGGGTTGTTCCGTGATTGGACTTGAGCAAATATACGCATCCAGACACTCTGTATGCATTTATAGATTTACTAATATGTGATTTTATTTCCTAGATGTGGACTCTGTATTCAGCAACATCCATTAGTCAAATAAAATAATTATATCTAATGTATACTTTTACATGTTTGTATCTCATGCAGGTAATGAATGGAAAGAAAGGCAGATTAGAAAGATAACTGACAAAATTTTTGATCATTTCAAGAATGAAACTGGAAAGGCCAATATGACATTTGAGGAGCTCTACATTGCTGTGCTACTTGTGTACAAGTAAGATGCTTTACCTGCATATTATTTATATCCAATAGCTATCCACAGAACTTTTGGATACTAATTATTGTATATAACTGTTTCCATGTTGTAGTGATATTAATAAGCGTTTACCTGGGCCTCATTTTGATCCTCCCACAAAGGAGGAAATTAAAATTCTGATGCAGGTATGTCAGAGTTTTTAATTATTTATGTAAGATTTCTGATACAGGTATTTGTGTGTGTAATTTGTTTAACATAAAAATTTAAGAGCTCTACTGGTGATTAATTACAACTAAGGCACATTTTTTTATCCGGACAGGTAGAGTTATTTTTCCTTCCTTCATTTGTTAGATCTGGCAGGATCTCTTGTACATTCATGGTCACCAATCTTGCTGCTTGTTCATTAAGAACTCCGTTAATTTTCTATTGTGGATGACTTGACCATTAAGTCTGAAAGAGTCTTTTGTCTTAATATAAGCCTATGTATAATGTATCCATTTGATTTTATATCGATTGATGAAATTTTAATGATTTAGTTGTACCATATAGCCTTGAGGGTTTTCTTGATATTGGGTACCTTGCCGATCAATGCTTAAAGAATCTCAAGCATATTTGGATCTAAGTGCCCCCCATTTCAGTCCGTTGAATTGAGACTTGATCCATCAATTTAGAACAGAGTTACAGAATTACTTGGAATTCACTTTTATAACAGATGAAAGTGCCTCTCTCAGAGGTAACCAGAGTTATAGGTTGATGACCTACATACTTGGGTCTGTATTCTTGCTTGGTCCAAAATGTGTACCTATGTTACAATTTAAGTACGGAATTCTGATTCATAAGTTGGCAGTCTCCTGTGTGTATTAGCCCTATGTGGAGCATTATAATTATGTCATTTAAGGACCCAACATCTTTGCCAGATACCATTATATGGTTCAAGACTATACAGTGAACTACTCACACCACTTAGAATCCATAAAGCTTGTTCTGATTCAATTTGTTGTGTACATCCACCACCAATTGTCAGACATGAACCAATTGAAGTTTTAAGAGGAAACTACCTGGCTTTTTTTTCTAGTTCATCCAAAATTATGCAAATCTCCAAATTCATGCAAAAATTAGGAATCACCGCACCTGACGTGGGACAACCACATACGGGATATTACAATGTGATAGTTTGTTAGTTACAATTACATTTATGCATGTAGATTTTTTAAATTATAGAATGCATAACCCGAGCTGAATTTGTCTCAACAGTATTAGTTTGGTCCAAAACCAACAGTGGCCAAGTCCTCTGTGGCAGTACAGCCCATTTTACTGCCTTCCCAATTTTTCATTAGAAGTTTAATGTATTTCTACCACCATTATTGTCATAACTTCTCATATTGGAATGCATGCAATCAAATGCAGTTATTTCTGCAATTTTGTATGATTTAATAGTGTACCTTAGATATAATAGATAGTTCACGCCCTTCAGCGTGTTGATTCAACGGTTTGCCTAACAACTCATGTGTGCTTGTTTGGTTTTTCTCATGGATAAGCATGCTTTCTTGAAAAAACTAGATGATATAACAAAATGTTATTACAATATTTAGTTGGATCTCCTATCTGCATCACTACATAGTCAAAATTGATATAATTGTCTAGTGTACTATAGTTGGGTTAATTACATTTTGTTGTTAAAACATACGAGGCAAATCAATTGAGGATGGCGGCCCTGGAAATTTGTGACTATTGATTATTTGTTTAAACTATGTGGTTCTCAGGTAAGTTAGATGACTACGATTTGGATTGGATGCTGATTTTGTTTCATGAAGACATGTTGAAGCTCTAAATGATTAATCTTGACAACGAGAAGAATGATATAATTCTAGTGTTGTTATAGCCTGTGGTAGGGTTGAAATGGGCTCTTCTTTTGTGTCGATCTGGGGTAGCAGTTGATATTTGGGGAGTGAAAGACAAGCCGAAATAATTGACATTCACTTCGAATAAGATGAATGTTATTTCTCATTGTGTTAATACTATGTATCAATGATAAAAAGCATCCTCGTCTGTAAATTGTAGTTTGATTTCTTCTGTGTAGGAGAGTGATATCAACCTCGATGGTGAACTGGATCGTGAAGAATTTGTGAAGTTTATGAACAAGATGACGAAGGATGCGTTCATCACAGTGAGTCAGGGATTAATCACTACCCTGGCAGTTGCCCCAACACTCGCTTTGCTGACAAAGAGGTCAACAGAGAATGTCCCGGGCATTGGGAAGGTGGTGCAGAAGTTGCCGAATTCAGTCTATGCATCCCTGGTGACCCTGGTGATTGTCTTGTTTCAACAGGGTGTAGAAAAAGCATAGAAGCTTCATTTCCTCTCCCTTAATTGTATGTAAAGATTGCCAGTATTAATGCATGGCCGTTGAATTGATTATGTCAATAGAAAACTTGTTAAAGCTACTCCATAAAACACAGAATCTGCTCTTGAGAAGATACAAGTAACTCTTGCTGTTTAGCATTTGGTACAAGATTTCTTGTTGGCTTGCTATGTATAAATATCTTTGAATGGTTTCTTCGAAACAGTAGTTGTTGTCATTGGCTTTGAGTAAATCGTAAGGCTAGAAGCTCTCAAGTGGAAATTTATCGCGATTCTAGGCATCTCTGCCTTCAGGGGAAATGATAAATATTCCAGTACGATTTATGGGACACTTTCAAATTGTAAGTCGTACATTTACTATCTTATTCGCATTTTCTAGAAGATCATACCAAAATATCACAAGTTCTTAGCTGTACCATACAACATGCAAATATACAACATATCTTGATTCTGCCTTTTTCGGCAATCCCCACTCATTATTGGATCAGCTTTCCTGGTAAACCAAATTTCCAGCCGCATGATTACTGTCAATTTGTAGTTAGAAGTCGAAGGAACCTTTGATATTATCTAGACTCTCTCCAAGAGATACCCTGCCAACGTCCAAGTCTAGTGAATAACGGATCACTAAAAATGCGCACACAATGAATTTCGAATCAAAGATGAATAGTTATCCAGCTAAAACGCGAGTAATATGCAATCAAGCAGAAAAAAATCCAACGCTTCTAATTTACCTCTCATAGGGAAGGGTTTCTTAAATCCGTACCTAGTTTCACAATTCAAAAGCTGTATCATACCAAAATATCACAAGTTCTTAGCTGTACCATACAACATGCAAATATACAACATATCTTGATTCTGCCTTTTTCGGCAACCCCCACTCATTATTGGATCAGCTTTCCTGGTAAACCAAATTTCCAGCCGCAGGATTACTGTCAATTTGTAGTTAGAAGTCGAAGGAACCTTTGATATTATCTAGACTCTCTCCAAGGGATACCCTGCCAACATCCAAGTCTAGTGAATAACGGATCACTAAAAAGGTGCACACAACGAATTAGTCGAATCAAAGATGAATAGTTATCCAGCTAAAACGTGAGTAATATGTAATCAAGCAGGAAAAACATTCAACGCTTCTAATTTACTTCTCATGGGGAAGGGTTTTTTAAATCCGTACCTAGTTTCACATTTCAAAAGCTACAACATATCATCACTTGGAACAAGTATGAAAAATATGGACACACTGAGTGAAAATCAACACAATATACTAGACTAAATGTTAAAATAATTCCACCCAAATTTGGCATGTTAACACGCAGCTTGGACAGTGCCTCTACGGCCGTACTAATCAGGAACCATAACAAAGAGGGGGGAGATAAAAGGGTTCTAAAAAAACCATAGACATGGGTCACTCGAGGATTTCATAATCAACTTAGGGGTAAGAATAAGAAACAAAAGACTTAGGAGTAACAATAAGAAATAAAAGTTTTACCAAGGCGATCCTTCCCCATCTAGAAAAGTATTTTCTGGCTATCTTCCGTATCTCCTTTGTTGTCTTTCAACTCTGATTCTAGTAATTAATATGCCATGCATCCAGCTCCAAACAGACTACAGGCAAAACCAAGGACTAAACTCCACATTATTAGCTAATTTCTTCCATCTCTTCACTTTTACCAATCGTGAAGAACTAACTTTCACTAATTCTAATGTTCGGTCACGAAATACATAGAGGAGCAAAATATCATCACATGATACACAACACTAGTATTAACCGCATTGGGGAGAAGGTTGATGCATCTTGTGATGTAGAGTCTGACACAACATGGATACTCCGCTACCCTAACTGCTATGACTAAGGAGCAGATAGAGCTACTACCGAAGGGAAAGTTGCTTCCGGTAGACAGCTGGCTCATAATTATTATGTAGGAGAGATAGCTGAGAGGTTCAAGGCGTAGCATTTAATTGCTATATAGGCTTTTGTTTACCTAGGGTCCCAATCCCTCTGTTTCTGTACCTTCACTTAAAATATTTGACTAACAATAATGAATCAAATAGCAACAGAGACCTTTATTCCACTAGTTAGACATTTCATTGACATAGGTTGTCTATTCCTAATTGCCATTACATGTAAAATACTAGAAAATAGTAAAAATCCTAGAAAGAAAATGAAAATATCCCTACACTGAGAGACCATTTAGGGGCCTTAGCTAGTGATGTGGATTTTTTCCCTCTCGATGATGAAGTTTATCCTCATCATCTCAATGGCGGACCTTGACCCTGTTATTTTGAGGTCATATCTAGTTAATCTTCGAGACGGAGTAGAAGAAGGAAGGAGATCAGAACATGATCCAATGAATTTGAAACAATTGAACAAGGAACTATATGAGGTGAAAATCTCATATAAAGCTTTTCCGTCAACTTTTTAACTATCACCCCAAAAAAATAAAAAATAATAAAAATAAAATAATTGTCTTACGTAAATCCCTGCTTACATTAACGAGAACATTCTTCAATCTTAATAAGAGGGGGAAAGGTTAAGGATTTAACCTGCTTGACGTAAAGCAATAGTGGATTTGTCTCCATCTTTTTCATGGGAGATAATTCGATAATCCAATGATTTCTTTTTCATGTTTCAAGATAGAGTTAACCAACATGTTAACTAATCGATTATGATATATCGGTTCGGATTTTGCTATTTTCTCATGGAGTACCTTGACGTGACATGACCGCATAATGATCATTTATCAAAGAATGAATTTCAAAAGATTTGAGAATAACATGCCCTTACCCAGTTTAAGAACTACTCAGATATGGAATACAATTCAACTTCTGGCAAACCTTTAGGTTTAGAGCTTGAGAAGAAATCTTCCAAGTGTTTGACTTTGAAAGTACAAAACCACACATGCGAAGAGAGAAGTTCCGAATAACTTGTCAGAACCAGATACTTGTTGATAATATATTACCTGCCTGAAATATCAGCCAGTGCCAAAAGGAAATCTATAACAAAAATTCTTCAAACTCTATTTTATTTAATCTTTTTAAAGTGGTAAAGCTTATCAGCTGAATTAAATTATAGGAATGTTATAATTTCATTTCTAAATTTAAGCACTCCTACATCTCGCTTTACATATCTGTCGGTATAACTCAACAAGAATAACCCAATATGCTTCATGAATTAGCAACCCAAGAAATAATGAAGTACAATATTTTCTTTAGTTCCACCCACTTCTATCTCATGATTTTTTTTTCATTAAAACCCGTGTTAATGCTGTTACATAAAAAGGCACAAGGAAAGAAAATTGTATGTATCAAACAAAACAAACGATGAAGTCTATCTTGCAATTGACATACCATAAATGCAATTAAGAGATCACTGCCACATATAAACTTCAGCAGTATTTGTTTGGTTATTAATCTGATTATCCATCTTTGCTGAAATCTGAATGTTAATTTCTATTCTCCTAGATTAGATGGTTGCTCGTGTGGATCTGTTTGCATATGGGAGTGTCTTGAGATAGTATTATGTAATTTATCATTCATTTTTTTCTTAAATCCGTACCTAGTTTCACAATTCAAAAGCTGTAACATATCATCACTTGGAACAAGTATGAAAAATATGGACACACTGAGTGAAAATCAACACAATATACTAGACTAAATGTTAAAATAATTCCACCCAAATTTGGCATGTTAACACGCAGCTTGGACAGTGCCTCTACGGCCGTACTAATCAGGAACCATAACAAAGAGGGGGGAGATAAAAGGGTTCTAAAAAAACCATAGACATGGGTCACTCGAGGATTTCATAATCAACTTAGGGGTAAGAATAAGAAACAAAAGACTTAGGAGTAACAATAAGAAATAAAAGTTTTACCAAGGCGATCCTTCCCCATCTAGAAAAGTATTTTCTGGCTATCTTCCGTATCTCCTTTGTTGTCTTTCAACTCTGATTCTAGTAATTAATATGCCATGCATCCAGCTCCAAACAGACTACAGGCAAAACCAAGGACTAAACTCCACATTATTAGCTAATTTCTTCCATCTCTTCACTTTTACCAATCGTGAAGAACTAACTTTCACTAATTCTAATGTTCGGTCACGAAATACATAGAGGAGCAAAATATCATCACATGATACACAACACTAGTATTAACCGCATTGGGGAGAAGGTTTATGCATCTTGTGATATAGAGTCTGACACAACATGGATACTCCGCTACCCTAACTGCTATGACTAAGGAGCAGATGGAGCTACTACCGAAGGGAAAGTTGCTTCCTGTAGACAGCTGGCTCATAATCATTATGTAGGAGAGATAGCTGAGAGGTTCAAGGCGTAGCATTTAATTGCTATATAGGCTTTTGTTTACCTAGGGTCCCAATCCCTCTCTTTCTGTACCTTCACTTAATATATTTGACTAACAACAATGAAAATAGCAACAAAGTCCACTAGTTAAACGTTTCATTGATATAGGTTGTCTATTCCTAATTACCATTACATGTAAAATACTAGAAAATAGTAAATATCCTAGAAAGAATATAAAAATATCCCTACACTGAGAGACCATTTAGGGGCCTTAGCTAGTGATGTGGATTGTTTCCCTCTCGATGATGAAGTTTATCCCCATCGCCTCAATCGCGGACCTTGACCTTGTTCTTTTGAGGTCAGGTCATATCTAATAACTCTCCGAGAAGGAGTAGAAGAAGGAAGCGGATCAAAACATGATCCAATGAATTCAAAACAATTGAACAAGGAACTGTATGAGGTGAAAATATCATATACAGCTTATCCATCAACCTTTTAACTATCACCCAAAAAATAATAAATAATAAATAAAATAACTGTCTTACGTAAATTCCTGCTTATATTAACGAGAACATTCTTCAATCTTAATAAAAGGGGGAAGGGTTAAGGATTTACCCTGCTTGACATAAAGCAATAGTGGATTTGACTCCATCTTTTTCATGCAAATAATCATGTTAACTAATAAATTACGATATATTGGTTCGGATTTTGCTATTTTCTCATGTAGTACCTTGAAGTGACATGAACGCATAGTGATCGTTTATCAAGGAATGACTCTAAAAATGATTTGACAATAACATGCCCTTATTCAATTTAAGAACTGCTCAGATATGGAATACAATTCAACTTCTGGCACCAACCCTTTAGGTTTAGAAATCTTCCAAGTGTTTGACTTCGTAATTACAAAACCACACATGTGAAGAGAGAAGTTACGAAGAACTCGTCAGAACCAGATACACATTCATAATATATAGCCTGCCTGAATTATGCAGCCAGCGCCAGAAGGAAATCTATAACAAAAATTCTTCAAACTCTATTTTATTTACTCTTTTTAAAGTGGTAAAGCTTATCAGCTTAATAAAATTATAGGAACGTAATAATTTCATTTCTAAATTTAAGCTCTCCTACATCTTGCTTTACATATCTGTCGGTATAACTCAAAAAGAAGCAATATGCTTCATGAATTAGCAACCCAAGAAATAATGAAGAACAATATTTTCTTTAGTTCCACCCACTTCTATCTCATGATTTTTTTTCATTAAAACCCGTGTTAATGCTGTTACATAAAAAGGCACAAGGAAAGAAAATCGTATGTATCAAACAAAACAAACAATGAAGTCTATCTTGCAATTGACATACCAAAAATGCAATTAAGAGATCACTGCCACATTTAACTTCAGCAGTATTTGTTCGGTTATTAATCTGATTATCCATCTTTGCTGAAATCTGAATGTTAATTTCCATTCTCCTAGACTATATCTTGCTCGTGTGGATCTGTTCGCATATGGGCATGTCTTGAGAGAGTATTAATGTAATTTATCATTCTCTTCTAGGTAATAAAGTTTATTTAACTACCAATAAAAGAAAAATTAATAAGAGCCCAATTAATAAAATTCCTATCATTTCATCTCCATTGGCATCAATAGTAGGAATTTAGCATACAAAATCCAAACAAAAATACATTTTATCTTGTTTGGGAAATAAATTAATGTGATATTTTACCTGTGCATACAGTACTTGTACTCCGAACTCCTCACATAATCTTTTTCCCCTTCTTCCAACTACAATAGTGAAAACAAACCAAGTAAACTCATCTGGCTAAATCACACCCACAATAAGAATAAGCTGCCACAAGGGCAAATTTAAATTCATTGAATTCACACCGGATCACTCTCATAGATGAGCTCATAACAGACTGGAGACAAGCATTGCAAAGCACAATTCTCCTCGGCTATCACTGATGACTTGCATTGTTGACCCCACAATCCACTTCGCAACAAAATAATCGCACAAAACCCACAAAATCAAAAATTTTAAACAGCACTATAAGCCCAGTGAAGATCCATCAAAGAAACGAACCAAAAATATATAATTTCAGCAAACAATGACCCCTTAAAAAATCATGATAGCGTGAAAACTCTACCTCTCAATGTCCGCATAGCACTCGTTTTTCTTCAGTCGAATCTCTGAGTCCTGTTAAACAGAGAAAAGAGTCACCGTCGAAATTCTTACAAAATCGAACAGAATTATATGCGATTGAATGTTCTACCCACAACCCCACAGAAAAGCCAACAGAAAGCAGCACTTACAGAGATGGGAACACGAGATTTAGCAATGACTTGATAGGAAGATAGTAAAAAAAGACCCCAAATGATTCCTAGAAAAGCTTTTGGATATTTGATTGTGCCACCCATTCCTGAGTTGTGTCTCTCTTTCATATTGCCGCTTGTTCTTCTCGTCCTCCGTCTAAAAGTAAAGTCGTAACAAAACGCGCGACTTCGTTTCCTCGTTAAATTTTGGTGAAAGACGCATTTCATTTGTTTCCTATATGTTTGACTTTAGTCTAATTTACATTTGATAATTAATCTTTTATTCGTGTTATCATGATATCATTTCATAAGAATTTCAAGCTTATACCCTATGTTATCTAAAGGGGAATTACAATAATAAGAACTCAAAAACATGTACGTAGCAAAATATAATGTTATAATAAATAAACAAATTCTGTAAAATACAAAAGTATAACATGTTTTGTTATGTTTGCTCTCCATGTTGAGCCTTCAAATGATTGTCTTTATTTTCGATTCATGGAAAATAAAGATACGAGTCTTTATACAATTTTGTGACTATTTGGGTTTGGTTACAATCGAAGATTTGTTGAGGATCAAGACTGTATCTTGATTAGGATTTAAGGATTATTCTTCGCTTTCATTTGGGATCCAGCAATCCTCAATCTTCAACTTTTGAAGATTCTAACACTAGTGGCGACCTGGGAAATCAATTTCTTAATCTAGAATAGGATTTTATTTCCTATCCACCCTGGCCCTTTCAATGAGTGGATCGATAACTCAACCAAGCTCAACTTCGGGATGGAGCACCAAGAAAGGTTATCGCAAATAGGATCGCATGAGTCTGTACATTGAATTTAACCATGTTTTGTTGCATTCACTGTCATTGAATGCATAGAATTCTCTACACCGCAGGCACTTATTGTATGGAGTAATGCTATTTAACACCTATCTAGATGACAATACTAGTAACGTTAAATTACAGATTCAATTAAAGATATCACATAATTTCACCTCGCATAATGCTACATAAACCGATGCTCTAGTATCACTGGTGTTAGATAGCATTATTCTATTGTGCGAGATTATTCTTTTTGTTTTGTTGAACTATTAGCCTTTGTACATGAAGCTCATTTGACTACAAGCAGAAGTATAACCCCCATCTATAACTAGATTGTGCCCTGTTATAAATCCCGCTTCATCGCTCGCTAGAAAAAGGACGCCCTGTGCAACATCTTCAAAACTCCCACATCTTCCCTTAATAAGGCTCCCTCTTTCCGCCACAATCTTTCCAACATCCTCCGGCTTCAAATCTTCGTTCCCAAGGAACTTTCTGTAGCCACTCATGAGCATCTCGGACGGCACCCCGTGGGGTGAAACGCAATTCACGCGTATGCCATGTACCCCGAGCTCACATGCCGTGCTCCTGGCCAGACCAAGAATGGCCTCTTTTGACAATGTATAGGCATGGGCTGCCAGGCCTCCCATGATGGCTGCAGAACTTGATGAACATATTATGGAACCGCCTCTTTTAGCCTCAATCATCGCTCGAGCAGCGTGTTTGATTCCGTGTACTATTCCATTCAAATTTATATCGACCAATGCCCTCAGATCATCCATTTTGAGGTTCATTATGCTCCCTTCTGGTCCTGCTATGCCAGCATTGTTGAACATGATGTCTATTCGACCTTTCCATTTTAGTGCAAATTGAATTGCGTGTTCAACATCGTATTCTTTCGAGACATCACAGTGTACGTATCGGCCTCCAATGAAATCGGCTAGTTTTGCTCCTAATTCGTCGAGTATGTCAGCTATGATGACATGAGCTCCATTCTCAGCCAACAATTTCGACGTGGCAGCTCCTATTCCTCTTGCACCACCAGTTATAACAGCAACTTTGCCAATTAATCTTTACCAGAACAAAGAAAAAAAAGAATCAGACATTTGATTATATACAAAAGATTTCTCAAAAATATTTCCATTTTTATGTTGGACTATAAAGAACCAACCTTTTCGAGGACATCCTCTGAGCCGTTTCATCATTTGAAACCATTTGATTTTGCAAGAAGTTTAGCAGAAATTCATGTTCTATATATAGCACTACCAGATGAAAAATGCTAGTAAAGTGAGTTTTGGTAGCTCTATGGAGGGTGTTTCTTTAGTGCTGCACACTCTTTTCATTTACACAGCTAATTACTAACTGCAAAGATTGCTACTAGTATCTAGGCATTGATTTTGCACATGAAAAAATAAGAACAAATTGGAATTCAACCGCTTAATTTTTAGAAACTCTGAACTAAATATAATTGAGATGAAATGGTGATTTTTGGTTATGTGAATTCCATCAAGAAAGATCCTAGGGTTACAATGATACCAAAGGAGAGAAATAAGAAGAATCAATTTGAACTCGAGAGAGATATGTTGATTAATAATGAAAAATTCAATTGAATACTACAATAAGTAATGAATATTGATTTGAGAATTAGAAGTGATTACTGTGAATTGTAAGTACTAACATCCACATTCATACGTTAAATTCCTAAGTTGTATTGATTGTGTGCATACATACTGTTATTTGTTTTTCGTTAATTAGGAGTTAGAATAGTAAATTAGATTTTAAATAATACTCTCTGTGAGAACTACAATTCGGGCTCATAGGTCCATTATATTACTCAAGGACAGATTCAAGATTAGATTCAAGATCGGGTTACAAAATTTCAAGTTGGGCTAATGCGTGAAAAAAAAAATCACAAAAAAAAAAAATAAAATAAAATCTTGGGCCTTGGGGGGGGACTACAGCCCAACTCAGTCCCCCCATGTCCGTGTCTCTGATATTACTTGTTACGACATCATACGCTTGCTACAGAAAACACGAAACAAGAGCTGAATGATTAAAAAAATCTTAGGAAATGTCAAAAACTGGTTGTTAAAAAGAATTTTGGGAAACAAGATAAGTTCAAGTTGAGTTAAAAGAACCTTGCAAGAAAAATTAGGTATGTGTATATGTCACATTCTGTTTTATACTGTTTTTCGCATCAACTTATCATGATTCAGTGTAAAAAATTGTGTTGCAAATTTGCTGACAAGGCTACCAATTAAACTCGTCTCTGTTACCTTCATCTAGAGACATTATTAATTAAAATCTTATAATCCTAGCTATAAGAAAATAAATCTCCCTTGGTTCTCTACATTTCCACAACTTTTTAATCCCACATTTTATCAACTTTTATCAAAATCTGTTTAATTGTATGCAATATCAATATCTCCTACCTATGCGTTTCCACGAGGTACACTCCTGGTGTAAAGAAATGAGATAGCAACCGCAGTTGGTCGACCCCTAATATTTTTAACTATCGTTGACTGGTCTTGATCGTGTTAGGATTTTTGACTTTTTATTGTGCTAATTGAAATAAAAATAGATTTTTATTGTTTGATTCTTAGTAAAATAGGATTTGAATTGTTCTGTGTGTTATAGGGGGTTTATCGTTTTCTATTTGAAATATCGTGTTCTATTAACAAGAGCCTCCATGTCTAAGATAGTCATAGACTCTCTCAGATTGAGAATTTGGGATACTTTATAGTCTCATCCGGTAGGTGTGCTTCGGGTTTGGAGTGCTTGAGGGATTTTATATGATCGTACAAATTTTTAGTTTATGCGAAATATCTCTATCTATCACAGCTAAGGATATTTCTTCGATTTGAAAGTTCTCCTTATAAATCTTGGTATTGCTATTTTTCTTCTTTACATTTTGCTGGCTTCTAAATAATTCTTTGAACAGTGATCCTATGGGCAAATAGAGGAATTGATCTCAATTTCCAATGAGATCTCATTGAAAGTTCATTGACGGTGGACACAATTTACTGGGAATAAATTGCTTCAAATAATAATAATAATGAAAGTTCATTGACTGTGGACACAATTTACTGGGAATAAGTAATAATAATAATAATAATAATAATAATAATACAGAACTTTCTTAGAAAGTTGGTCCCAATAATAATAGCCACTATCGCTTGATAATACCCCACCAATAATGACTCCACGCACTGCCCTATTGTTTATACCCACTAACAATAGTGCTGAGGGGCCTTTTTTTTTTTTTTTTTTCCAAACAACGTACGATAATATGAAAGGGGGTTTTGCTAGGCGTATGCCGAGTTTGACAATCCCGATGTATAGTTCCTTCATAATAGGGAACTCGTAATTTTTCTATTAGGCACGGATCCTATCATGAGGGAATTGTACACCGGACTGTCAAACACTGGCATATAAATAGCAAAACCCATATAAAAGAATTTTGCTACACAAGTATCATTGAACAGTTAGAAAAAAATAGTAAAAAAATTATGCATACGGATACTTCCAACACAACACTTGTCAAAATCCTTGTTTGAGTAGTGATGCTACCAAAAATCCTTGTTTGAGTAGTGATGCTACCAAAAATCGTACCTGTAGATTTCCTGAACTTGATGATTTGGATTGAGCACGATAGTAGTCTTTCGGTACCTAAAATAAAGGCAACGAGGTATGTTCTCATCGCCCCTCCGACGCTTAAGTCAGAAAGGAAATTATATGCGTGAGGCTATAAACTAGAGAATAATGAAAAACGCACCTGAATAATGGCTCAAGGTTCTGTATTTATAGTAGTAAGCGACATTCTCCTAGTGGGACTCAATTAGTTAGATGTGCTTATATGTTGGAGTCCTATACAATTAAGGAGTTGGTCAAATACCATAATTGTATGTGCGATAGAGTCCTTGCAGGAGTCAAGTATATGGTTGAGTTAGAATCCTAATTGCATAGGAATTCTAAAATGTCAACAATCAAAGGTTGTGAGGGGAGCATATGCTCGAGGACTGCTTATGCTCGAGGACAAGTATCGCAATATGTAAAGCAGCCAGGCAGGACGTGATCGGGCATGGTATCCTGGGGTGCCATATGCTCGAGCACTCCATATGTGAAATTGCAAGTTCATCTAAAATTAGTCGTCAGGATAATATAGTGATCGGGTTACAGGGAATGTCAGTATCATTGGCCCCCGTGCACATATGCTTGAAGCTTTCGCTCGAGGATACGATGCAAAGAGGCTCGAAGGCGACTGATGTGTAAATGCTTGGGATTTTGAAGACGAGTGAGCAAAGCTGACATGGTGATGACATCAGCCCTAAACAAGTGAGGCGGTGGAAGGGTTGAGCCCCTGAATGTAGACACGTGGCGTGATCGGACGGTTGTGCCAGCGACTTTTGGGCTCCTACCCAGGTCTCCTATAAATACTCCTTTTGCTATTCATTTTTTACTTTTTCACTCTCAGTAAATTTTTCTCGCAATCGTCAGTATCAGGTAAGAGCTTGAGAACTTAAGTTGTTTATTTAGAAAGGTCCTAGCTTGGAATAGGATGTCGAGTAGTGAAGGAGACACATCGTCTTCAGGGTCTAGGTCTACACTCGAGGATTTAGGACAGTCCATAGTGCCAATGGCAGTACCTATTAGTGCTCAGCCTCGAGCTCAGGATAATCCGACGTCACTTAGGTTCCCAGATCAACCGTGTAGGTTAAGGAACACTTAGCGATATCGACGGCTAGGGAATATGGCCTTATGCCGGGTTGTGATATAAGGCATCCCGAGGATGGGGATAGGATGGCTCTAGCTTGGGAAAAAGAGTTTGTGATTTTCAGAGATTCTTTAAAGGGGGCTTAGGTGGCCCGTGCACCCATTCTTTGTTACCCTGTTGACCGAGCACAATATGAGTCCCCGGGCAGTTAGTGCCAAATGGGTGGAGGATGTTGACTTATTTTTTTTGTAGCTTGTAGGTACCTAGGAATTACCCCATACCTAGACTTATGCAGGATGGTGTTCGACCTGAAACAACTTCCCCAATTCTCGTGTTTTGCCTACCTTTCATCCCAAGGATGCCTAATTCGTTAAAAGGGTGGAAGGAAAAATGGTTTTACGTCGTGACTCAAGATCTCGACCTACCTTTTAGTCCTCAGTGGGTCTTACCAGATACTACGAGGTTTTATGAGGGTTAAGCCTATTTTGAGTCCTTAGAGATGGATAGGCTATGTTAGAAAATCTGGAGCCTTTGGTGTATGATATAGAACATCCTCGAGGATGTCTTACCAGATACTGCGAAGTTTTGTGAGGGTTAAGCCTATTTTGAGTCCTTAGAGAGGGATAGGCTTATGTTAGAAAATCTCGAGCCTTTGGTGTATGATATAGATGACATCCTCGATCTCGCAAATGTGAAAGGCGTCGAGGGTAGGATATGCACTTTCAATGTTTTCGTTATTCTGCCTACGTTTGTAATGCTCGTGCTCGTGCTCGTGCTAATGTTGGGTGATTTTGCAGAAATGACGTTTGATCCTGCTGCCCTATGTCTTGCAGTTAACAAGAAGTCCAAGGTCCCCCAGGCTCGGGCTCCCGACCAGAAGAGGGGACAAAAGAGAGCTCGAGATTCCAAGCTCGAGAAACAGAGGAGTGGCCCCGACAAAACTTCACAGCCAAGGGGGAAATCCTCGACCAAAGAGCGGGAAAGGGTTGAGCGCCCAACCCCTCAGGGTACACCTCGGAGTGTCCCTCAATCTCGAGGTCCTATCGAAGTGGTTGATCTCGAGGATGGGGCTCTGCCAACATGGTTTGTCCCATTAGAGGACCAAACCCGAGGTCAATTTTTGCCGAGCATTGTTGACCAGTACCGAGGAAGTATTGGCTTTGATGATGGCATGAGGGCCCTCGAGGCCATGACGCTAAAGGTACGTCGATCATGTAATCTGAACTTTATTTGTTCAGGTATTTTTACATCTTTTTTAATCAAAGCTTTATTAAACTTTCGTTCGTCCATTTTTTTCCAGACGTTAAGCATTGCTCGAGGTCTATCTTTGAAAGGAAAAGATGAGTCCTCCAAATTGACTGACCTCAAGGACTCCTTTACGACTCGTAATAAAAGAATTGCCGACCTTGAGGCCGACCGTGCTCAGCTGCTGAGGGAGCATGAGCAGATGAATAGCGAGCTCATGAAAGCTCGAGAAGAAGTTGGTGCCATGAAGGATGAGGCTGAAGAGGTGAAGCTGGAGCTTGAAAATATTCATAGGGATTATGAAGGGAGGTTGGTCCAAGC